CCAATTCTGGACGTAGGCAATTCTTGCCGCAGTTATTATATGAAGTATGATATATTGATTTTTTTTTGCCAATTTTATCTCTTAATATACTCAGTAAAAATGTTTCTGGTTTCAATTTAATTTTTTGTTTTGCAATTTCTTCTAGCCAATTCTTAATTTTGAGCCAATATTTCTTAGCTTTAGGGCAAGTCCACCACATATGGAAAAAAGTTCCCTGTTCATGATCACACTTCCAACAATTTGCCGATCTGTTAGGGAACATTTTAGCCAACCTTGCCAGAGGTACGTGCCAGAACATTTTATACAAGTTCTCTTTATAGGCTGCTGATAATGTTAATTTGTAATTTATTTGCCATAATTTTCCCAATCTTCCAAATCAATGCTATAGCCAAAGTTTTTTGCCCAAATCATGGTCTCCTTTACTGCTTCTTCTTCCATTCAAAATCTTAAGAGATAATTATACATTTTAGTAGTCATTTTTTCCTCTGTCCCTGTAATATTTTATCTAATTCCTGTTGTATATCCCATATTGCTCTATATCTTTCTTATATCTTGTTTGGATTTGTAGATATGGCCACCAATCTATCTCTATTCCTTGTATCTTCAATTCTTGGTTTGATTTTAATTCTCCTTGCTCGTCTAAAATTCTTTATATTTAACTATTTTATTTAAGTCTAAAGCATTAGGATATACCATTGCCGCCACAGCTTTGAACTTATTTCAGTTTTCCTTTACTTTACAAACCTGATAAGATCATAAATGTGAGGTTTGGTCACAAAGTTAATCTTTCATCACTATCATAATTGCAAATGGTTGCTAAATAAGGACTACCTGTATTAATTTTGTTTTAATCTCACATACTACTATTGCAAATTAATATTCCCATTATCAGATATATCCTGTCAGAATACATTATCTGCAACTTGTCTCTTCTGGATCTTCTTAAAGACATTTAAATGACAAGATTATTTTGAAATAAAATTAGAATCAAAATTAGATTTAAAAGATAGTGCCACGTATCTTGCACTAAACATGTTTAGAAAGTTGTTAACATAAGCAGAGGAATGGCAAATCATCATGGAAAAATATCAAAATTCACCTATTTAGTCTTTTCTCTTTACTGAGCTTTTCTTCCTATTATTTGCGCCTCTATAACTGTCTGGTTTGGTTCTGCAACCCAACAGGACAGACACAGACTTCAGAGGATAATTAGGACTGCAGAAATAACAATTACTACCTTCAATCGAGGACCTGTATACTGTACGAGTCAAAAAGAGGGCTGTGAAAATATTTGCAGACCCTTCACATCCTGGACGTAAACTGTTTCAACTCCTTCCCTCAAAACAACGCTATAGAGCACTGCACACCAGAACAACTAGACACAAGAGCAGTTTTCCCCCGAAAGCCATCACTCTGCTAAACAAATAATTCCCTCAACACTGTTCAACTATTACAAGTAGTATTCTGCACTACTATTACTGTTAATCTTCTCATTACTCCCTATCACCCATTCCCTCCCACTGGTGACTGTATGACTGTAACTTTGTTGCTTGTATCCTTACAATTTATATTGACTGTTTCCTAGTATGATTTGATTGCTTATTGTACCCTATGACTATCATTAAGTGTCGTACCTTATGATTCTCGACTCTTGATGAATGTATCTTTTCTTTTATCTATACCGAGATTATTTACACCAAGACAAATTCCTTATGTGTCCAATCACACTTGGCCATAAAGTATTTTATTTTTTTTCTGTTTTCCTAATAGGGGAACAGGAAATGATACTTCTTACCCTGTCTTCCTTCTTCACTCCCTTCTTTTCAATCTATTGTTTACCACACCATTTTTGTTCCTTTATATTATATCAAATAAATCATATTACATATTTTATTTTTATTTATTTATTTATTTATTCAATTTCTATAACCATCCAACTCAACCTGGTGACTTTTGGCTTGTTATGATCACTCATGCCTTAGCCATCTCCCAATTGGATTATTGTAATGTGCACTACATGGGGCAGCCCTTGAAGAGTATCTGGAAATTTCAGCTGGTGCAAAATACAGCGGCATAGGCAGTTATGTGTGTTTCTAGAACAACACATATATCAGCTGTGCTCCATGTGCTGTAACAGTATATTTCCAGATCCAATTCAGAACTACTGGAAGATAAATTAGACATGCATAATAAGCCACACAAATTCTAAAGGAACAGGATGCCAGCAGGTGTACTGTGCAATAAATGGCTAGATGGTCAAGGCTATAGCTAAACACCATTTTGAATGCATATATTTCCTCAGTTTTGATTAGCAGACTAAGGGGAAAAGATGCTGACCAATGGGGGATGACAGTCTGGTCTGAACTGGCCAGTCCATCCGGACTTTCTTTTATGGTGCAGCTACTAGAATAGGAGATAAATAGGAAACAGGGAACATGGAGTAAATGGAGTGGAAAAGACAGGCAAGAAAATAGAATTGCTGAGGAAGAGGGCCTGGAAGCATATTGTCAAGCAACCCCTCTATCCTGCCATTTCTACTGCAATGGTAAGCAGACATAGAATGCTGTCTTATATACCTCAGGCTGTTCCACCTCTCAAATCCAAACAGGACTCTGTCTGATAGTTTGGAAAGCAAATATTATACCACTGAATTATGTGCCAGAAGTTTAAGATTGTGGTCTGAATAACGCTCTAAGAGATGTTACAAGATGCTGCACAGCTTTTGGCTTCCAGTTCTTTCACATTTTAGCAATGTTTCCCTGCTGCCTGAGGTGTTCCTGTAAGCATAGGAAATAATGCTGCATTTTTTCCTTGTTTTATAAACAGATGGCATTGATAGGAACTTTGATAGAATAGGAGCTGGAAGTGGGGCAGGTAGTTTGTTTTTTACATCATACACCACATAAGCATAGAACTAAAAAGTAACTTGCAAGTTTTATAGTTTCTTCAAAGAAGCTTATACTGTGTACATAATATTGATATTATGAAGGAATATTTAAACTTACATACAAGATATACAAAACTGATTAAGAATACTGGATAAGACCAAAATAGAAATTATTCATTCTAAAAAAAAACAAATTGCAAACTCCCATTAAGATACATGGAGTTGCCATACAGTTAAGATACATGGAGACCTTGTCTGATTCCTCTCATTTTCCAAGTCTGGTGGTTTGTTGAGTATAGTGTATTGATCATATCTATTCATAGTTACTTCAGATTTACTCTCATGAGGTTGGTTAGCTTTTCTCTGCATGCTTATTTCTTATTTCACATTTATTTACTGTATACCATTTGTTTGTTCCCATTATTCACATCCATGTCCCAAAGACATTCTATAATGTTGGGTATGGTGTTTTTAAACAAGCTGTGTGTAGTGTAATTTGTCACAATTTCCTGTTTTATAATAGTTTTCCTGCTGAAAATTAAAATGTAGCTGCTTTCTGGATCCCATTTCAGTTACCAACTTCAGCTCCTCATGTATATATATTGCCCTGTAACTAATAAACCAAACTGAACTAGATAGAAGTGCAGGGAGTTAAAATAAGTTTGCTCAAGCAGATCTCCTAGCAAGAGTTGGATAAGAGTTCAGGTATAAATACCCTAAGGCCCCCAAATAATATTGCAGCTTCTGATTCACTGTATTCTTGATTCAACTGCTCAGTTCCAAAGGGGGTTTTTACCCAGGAAAATAAATTCTAAGTAGCTTTTTCAGGGAAACTGAGGGGAGCGGGGGTATACCAAGAATATAAACCATGGTGTGGTTCTCTAGCATGATACTACTGATTTGTGTAAGGTAACTGAATAATCTTCAAAACTGCTATAAAAATTTATATCAAGGTGCAGTATACTCCTGAAACACTGCACAAGCTCTTCTCCTGTCATGATAAGCAGAAGGTACACTTCAGCCTCTCACTTTTAGTCCAAATTCTGACTGTATTTTTTATCATTAGCTAATTTGTTGATTGATGATTTTGGAAAGGTATTCTCCCACTATAATTCCTCTTTATAGATATGGAACAGTTGCAAGTCAGTAAACAGGAAATTACAGAGAAACCAAAGCCATGCTTTCCTTGAGTATTTAACCAAAATCTTAAAAGTAGATGAAGGCCAGACATCTGTGGAATAATCATTCGTGTTTCTTTAAATCAAAAGCATTTAGTAGTGACTGATTCAGATCTAATGGAAATTTATTGTGTAGACATAACTTTCCTTTCCAAAGTTTTATTCTTCAGAGGAATAGTTTCTGAGAGTACTCCCAATTGAAAAAGCAATGCAGTATTAAAGGTCTGCTATATACGCCCTTTTTGGAATGTCCTTCCCAGAGAAACTCTGGTAACACTACTGTATTGATATTTCAAGTAAAACAAGCCAATTTTATTTTCCTCTTGTTTTTATTTTTGTGTCCATTTTTTGGTTTGTTTTTGTATTATGCTTGCTTTATAGTTTTATACAGGGATATAGATTTTTATCTTATTTTGTTTTGCTTGTGGTTTTAAAGGTGGTTTTAAACCACCTTAAAGATTTTTGAATGGCAAATTATAAATGGAATGAATAAAAAAAATCAATTTCCTCAGTGTTAGGATCTCAATCCAAATGGACTTCTTCTGTTCCAAAATTGCATTTTAATCTATGAACAAAAGAGAGAGCACTCTAATTATTGATTTCTCATTCTGTCATTTATTTCTGCTCTTATATTAAAGCCAAATAAGCTATAATCAGCTCTGGTAGAATTGCCTGCAGTGATGGTTGGTTTTTTTATATTTGTAGATGTGCAAAAGTCTGAAGCCTGGATCATTTTTAAAATTTCTAATAACTGACTCAAATCAATTATTAATATTTCTCATTGTCTTAAAATTGGCTGAGTTATAAGCAATTTCACTTTGGGGTTTATATTTTCACAGAATGGAAAATAGTGCAGATTAAGATCAGTAGCAACAACTAAATGATGGATAGAGATCATTTCCTTCTTCTTTTTTTCTTGCCTTCCAACTATGCAGCTGCTACCTTTATGGAACACTGGAAGAGAAAACAGATGCGTCTGAATTACAAATGGGATCTTACTGGTTTTGAAGAAGAAGAAGTATGTTAATTCTTTTATATGCTGTTTCATTGGTAGTTACTTTAGCTAAATGATCTTTAATTTTCAGCTAGTGACCATTGGAATGGAAAATCCTGCACATAACCATTTCTAAATTTGGGAAGGGTGTGTTAGTTTCAGTCTTGTTACCATGGAAGCCTGAAGCCTTGGCTGGAGAAATAAGATTACACCTAGTAATGTAGTCATTAAAACATATATAGCTCAAGAATTATTCCCTTGATGTAGAAACTATAAAATGTGAACATACTCATAATTTGTTCAGTTTTAAAGATACAGTTGTCATGATTATAGAAGTTTACAATGAGCAAATATATTCTCTGTGAGTTCAAAATTAAATATTGCTTCTGGCTGGCGTATTGAGTGGAGACTGGAACTATTAATTTATATTTTAAAAGGGGAAATGTCTGTCTTTACATTTTAAAAATGTTTTATTTCCCAATTCTATTTGAAATTTAAGATTCCCAGGAAATAGTTTGTGGGTGTTTGTGTTTACAATACTGTTTAAATTAAAAGGAGCCATTCAGTTTTAATTGTAAATTTTTATTTACAAATACACATTTGACCTGACAAATTTAAAATATGCTATCATATCTAGTTCTGTGTTATCAAATTCAGTATTCAACCAAATAATTGTCTTACTAACTGTAAGTAGAAAGCCCTGGATCTCTTTGATAGATTAGGTAGATTTTGTTCATATTCAATCTTAGGGCTATACAATATATTTATTAAAAAGAAGACTAAAAGTATTACTGTTATAGGAAAAGAAGACAAGATAGAGTCTTGAATATGAATAACCATTCGTTCTCTTGCAACAATTGTTCCACTTCCACAATCTCCTACCCACATCAAGTTTATGTTTTCTAATTTTATGTTGAGACTACATAGCCACTAGGAAAAAGGCCTACCTCTCAAACCGTCTACAGAAACTGCTTCTTCTATTAGAAGCTCTAAAACTGATGAATAGGTTTTGCTTATAAAAAACCTGTGGCAAAGAATGGACTGGTCAAGTCCATTCACCCTCTCTTCTAATAGTATTTTATGTATTTTATTTGTATCCCACATTTATTACATTATTAGTAGCTTAAGGTGGCAAACATACATACTCCTTCCTCCTCCAATTTCCCCTACTACAACAACCCTGTGAGGTAGCTTGAGCTGAGAGAGAGTGACTGGCTCAAGGTCATTTCCATGCCTAAGGCGTGACTTGAATTCACAGTCTCCCAGTTTATAGCACCAAATTGGCTATAAGTATAAATCATATAAGTCATAGCTAATTATATTGAATTAATATTATTTACTTTTAATGGATTAATCGGTTAATCTTGAATATTTTCATAAATACATACTGGAGAAAATTAAGCTGATCAGTTTTTAATGTTGCACATGTGTGTGTCAGTGAAAAGGACCTCTCCCTTTTTCAGTGACAATTATGTGCATTTTTAAAGTTGTTTTACAAATATGTATAAACTATGAAGAGGGTTGCTCAATTAATTAAAATTATTATTTTTTCGAGCAGAAATACATGTGTCTCATTCCAATATTAAATTTTACAACTGATTTCATTAAAAAAAAACTCCAACAGCAGTTAATTGGTCTACATCTATGATTCATTTGATCTTTGACCCAAAGCATTAACACAAATGACACGTTAAAGTTGAAATCTCAGTGCTAGGATGGTATCATTGACACCATAAGACAACTGTTCTTTTATTTTTGGTACCTTGTTGTTAGCTGTCGGAAGGATTAACTGTATCCTTGTAGTAGGAAATACCTTTCAGGATTATGTTCAGTGTTCCCTGTAGCAATAGCAGTGACCTGAGACAACTGCTGATAATAGAATGTATTTTATTCTTCACTTAACATATTCATCTTAATTCAGTCCTACGATCAAAGCACTTGAGTATGCACTCAAATCCTAGTGAAGAAATGAATCTCTAATATGTCTGAATACTGCCATATGAGGGTTATTTGAAGTTGTTATCCCAATAATAATTATGTAAGAGAACAATGCGCTCCACGTGTTCAGTTGCTTGATACCATCAGTTCTGGGCCATCATACTATTCAGTCTTTCTGGATGTTGAGTAACTGTGTGTTTTCATGCTGATATTTCCATGAAATAAACACAACAGAAGACCAACCCATCCTACACCCCATGGATGTACCCCTAATTTTTATGCAGTGCCTACATTCACACAAATTAAAATAATTGTATCAGGAATACAGTTTGCAACAGTGAAGTAATTTTAATTTTTATGTTTTTTGTGTTTTTTATGGTTTCCTGAAGGAGGCAGTCAAGGTTTGGCATTTTTGTTTTGTTTTATTTTTTTATATAATTTCTATCTAGGAGTGAAAGATGCATTTCAATCTCCTCTCATTTTTCCCCAGCATGTCTGTCTTCAGAATTTCCAATGCAAATTATTCTTTCCTCTTTTATAATATCCTCAAATAGGGCTTTTCCATATCCATTCAATCTCAGTCCAATGCACTTTTAAAAATAATCTCTAAATCTTTCACCAATTTCATTCTTTTCATTTCTGATTCTTTTCCACACATTTTCTCTGTATGTCTGACTAAACTGAAATTACAAATTATTAATTTTAATTAATGGAATTGAAATTACCTTTTTTGTTAAGATCAAATTCATATAGAGAGGAGAATCTCTTAACTGCACATTTAAACCCAGAACAACGTAGTGTCAACCCTTTGCCTCATATATAACATGCTGTCTGTTCAAATATGGCCTCTTTGCAATGCCCAGAAAGGCCATTCAGGTTTAAAACAGATTACAAAATGAAGCCTCTTTTCAGTTGATAGTTGATAATTTCATGAACATGTCCATGTAGTTGTCTTGGCAACAGTAACTAAAGGATTTGCCTTTGTATTCTAGAATGTTTTCTTCAATCTCATGTTCTAGTACTCAATCCAAAAGTTCCCTTATTACCTATCCAAACACTTATCAGGCCTGATCCTGCTTAGCTTCCAGACCTAGACAAGATCAGACACATGCTGTCACCTGCTAAGACTTAACATATATACAAACAATGCAAACCAGCATATTGTGAATCTGAAGTTTTTTGCTGCTATAGAAAATGGGTACAAGGCTGTGACACTACCCAAATTACTATGTCTATTGGTGAAAGAACTTCAATGTAGCAGCATCTTCACCATTAAAATAAAGAGAACACATAGTCTTAAGCTACAATATTTTCAGAGGAAGGAAGGAAGACTTTAAATTAAGTTATAGCAGAACTTTACTCAGATTCGTTATAATAATTTGAATTGATATCTAATAGGTCTCATGGTTCCCTGTATGTATGACTTATTTACAGGATCACCCAAGAGCTGAGTATGAAGCAAAAGTATTAGAAAAATCTCTCAAGAAAGAATACAGAAATAAAGAGGTAAGATAACAAATTATTTTTGTTTTAAAAATTTATGTAATAAAAATTAAGTACATTTGTTTTAAAAAATCATAGCAAAGATTCTTCACATTTATATTATTCATTGTAAGTGATTACTATTCTGATATTGTTACTGAATATCAAGAAATGAAATATTAAGAGAAAAGAAATGCAGTTAGCTTCGAAACTGCTATGGAATAATACAGAGTATTCAGACATTTGTTCAAAGTCAGTACAATTATGAAAATACCAGGGACTAATTTTTTAAAATATTAATTTTCACGATTACGCTGACTTTGAATAAATGACTGACTCTGCATTACTCTAATTTTGAAGACATAATTTAGATTTTTATTGTCAGAATATAAAAACATTTAGAATTGTGATTCTTGTGAAAGTTCTGGAGCAGCAACCCAATGGTACAGTGGATACATTCTTTGAATGAGATGATCACATAACTTTTAGTTATTGAACTTAATTCCGTTTTATGGCAAAGTAGCACAAAACACTGGGCAATTATTATTCTGAACCATATTTCTAAGGTACTGAATTTAATTACATCTTGAAACAGGAAAGAATGTTTCATCAAACTGAAACCAATATGGTCCAATATTTGTTCTTTTAGTAGTTTAACAGGTGACAGCAGCAATCTTCTTCAGTCTGGCCCTTCTCCATATGAATGGACTTCAACTCCCAGATTTGTCAGAAATTTTATTCATTTACTTTGATTTGTCAATTGCTTACAAGATAATAAGTATAAGTATATACATAGTTATGAATACATGAAATGGGTACATGGAAGAAAAATAAAAGAAACAATAGGACAGGGACGGTAGGCATGTTGATGCGCTTATGCACGCCCCCTACAGGCCTCTTAGGAAAGGGGTGAGGTCAATAGTAGACAGTCTAAGGTTAAAGTTTTTGGGGTTTGAGGAAGAAACCACAGAGTCAGGTAGAGTATTCCAGACATTGACCACTCTGTTGCTGAAGTCGTATTTCCTGCAATCAAGTTTGGTGCAGTTAACCTTGAGTTTGTATCTATTGTTTGCTCTTGTGTTGTTATGGTTGAAGCTGAAGTATTCATTGACAGGTAAGTCATTGCAATGTATGATTTTATATACCATACTTAGATTAGACCGAAGACAGCGTAATTCAAGGTTTTCTAGGTCTAGATTTTCAAGTCTGGTGGCATAAGGTATATTCTGCAACAAGTAGAGGAGTGGAGAACTCTTCTTGTGAAATATTTCTGGACTTTCTCAACTGTGCTAATATCAGATACGTAATGTGGGTTCCAGATTGATGAGCTGTATTCGAATATTGGTCTAGCAAATGTTTTGTATGCTCTAGTTAGTAGTGTGATATTACCAGAGAAAAAGCTACGTAGGATTAGGTTAACAACTCTTAATGTCTTTTTGGCTATGTAGTTACGGTGGGCTCTAGCCCACCGTATGAGTATTCCAAGGTCCTTTACAGAGCTTGGATCATCAACAAGGTCTTGTCTATTCAGCTTGTATTTTATTTTCTGATTTTTTTTTACCAATATGTAAGACAGAGCATTTATTTGTTGAGATTTGAAGTTGCCATTTGTTTGACCAAAAGAAATAGCCAGACTAGCTGAGGAATTCTGGAAACTGAAGTTAAGACCTCTCTATCTGGATATCTTCAGTTTTCAAAAGGCTAAATTAGAGGATGTCTTCTATTCAGAAACATATTGCCTTGATTAGGATCATGTGAATTTATCTCTTTCAGTTATTCAGGTACTATTTGTTGGGTCTCATTCCTATGTCAGTTTGTGAACACTTGAAAAAAATCCCCTCTGATTGAAAATGCATATTCATAATTGTGAATAAAGTGTAGGCACATAAGAGTTGGAAAATTATATGACAACATTCAGAGAATGAAAAATCTGAAGGATTACAGTATAATAATCTGGATCATTCATAGGTTTGGAAAGTGCAAATTAGGTCAAATTTCTCCACAAGTTCTCATACCTATAATACAGGTAATAACCATTGTGATTATACTGAATAGAATTGTTTTAGGTTGCTCTGTTGAAATTATCCAGGTTGAGGGTTATCATAATTACATTTTGTGATAGAATATTTTATAATTTGGCTCTTTGAGGATAAATGAAATAAAATGTTTTTCAATCACCCATTTACTAAGCAACCCTGGGTTCTAATAGGTTGAGACAAAATAGCCATTTTGTATCCAATTTTCTGTATAACATATGCTTTATTTTTTCCGTTATTGCTATATAAGATATATCAGTGTCAGCAGTTTTATTTAAGATTCAACTGCCTAGATAAAAATCATATCCAGAACTGATTTGGCTACCCTGTGAAGAATTGGAGGCATGAAAGAGCAATCAGTGAGGTCTACTGCTAAGTAAATATAAGGAAGAACCCAATACAACAAAGATAGGCCAGGGTAATTAAAGTCAATCTTTTTAGACAAAAATGCTATCCAAATACTCTAGTGTAAATATAGAAAGTTGTACTGTGTTATAAAAGGAAAGAATTTCTTTCAAAAAAACAAACAGGAAGTAGAAAGTAATACGAAAGCAACTGAGTTTGTGGGCTTCTCCAGACTAGTTAGGATGAAATCCAAAATGATATTTTCAAACGTAGAAATGGGCAACAAACTGATAAATACAAATAATTGTGAATAAATAATGAATGGGACAACTTTGGAGTAAAAAAAAAATGTAACTACATAATTGACTGAGGGGGACTAGGCTGATATAACTAATCAGCTAATCGATGTTAAAAAAAAACAGTATGCAAAAATGGTGAAACACTTCAATCTTAGAAATTTATATAGAAAGTCCGGTTTTAAAAAGCCAGTGTTGCTATTGGTTGAGTTATTCATATTAAAGTATGCTAAACTCAATGTATCTCAAAAAGGATAGTGGGCAGTAAGAGGAAATGGACTGATTTTTCTGGATTTCTTTACATTTTGCTTTCCATTTCCTTGTTCTAAATAATTTGTTTCACCTGCAAACACAGTCATCCTATTATTCATTGTTAACCCAGATCATGGCTGAGAAAGTTAAATAACATCAATTGTTTTTATGATATCTAGTCCTTTTTTATTCTTAGCAATCAGATATATTTTCTCCATTATGATCTATCAGCTGTTTTACATAATAATGTAGATATAAAATGCTCACACGATATGTAGCCACTATTGTTTTTAATTTGCCAGTTAATTGTGGTTATTTTTCTCTGGTTTTACTTTGAATTTTCTATTTTATAATTATTTATATTGTCAGAAAATTTAACATCAACACATAGGCATCTTTTATTTGTTTTTAAATTCTACCATATACATATTCTATTTAGAGATTTATTCATTTCCATATAAGTCAGTGCTTTGTAACAACCATATTGGATTATCCTTTTCTGTTTCCTTCAAATGCCATCAGAAGGGCCAGCAATTGCCAGAAGAGGCAGCTAACAAATGGCGACAAAGAGTTAAGAGAGTCATGGCTGGGATGAAATTGGTACATTTCATTACCATTTGTGGAAATTTTCTGAATCTGAATATCTATAAAACACAATTTTCTTTTGTTTATTTTGTAATATTCACATATATGGCTTTCCCCTTCTTCTGTCTTGATCACTCTTGTTGAGGTGGGTTTTTATTTGGAATGACACTGCATGGTTGATCTTTCATACTGGTTGATGTGCAGCTTTTACAACACTGCACATGTCTTATGCTTGATGGGGTTTCCTGGCTTCCTTTTTTTGAGAGAGAGAGAATGAGAGAAAGGAAAAACATGCATGTGATGCGCATGTAACATTAAGTGCTTATTTTTCTTTCTTTCTTTTTTCTTTTTGAAAAAAAGTTTTATTGTTTTTTTAGACAAACATAGACAAACACAACATAAAAATATCAAGCCATCTTCACATATATACATACAGTGTGTCGGTTGGTTTACAAATTGTTTTGTGCATCCACTTCATAGTCATCACTTGCAATTTCATTGTATATGTTCTCATATTGTCAATCAAATATTACTAAGTACATTAATATCGTTAATCAATCATTTGACTACACTATTATTCATTCATGTTTTACAAAATAATCCATATTTTACTTGATTTATTTTATGACAATTCATATTATCATCCCAAACCTATCCTATAATTATATTGTAGTTATGATAAAAATAATACATCTTTATATATTCCTTATATTCTAAAAATCTACATATTTCATTACCATGTTTTATTGTCTAACCATTGATAAAATAAATCCCAAATCTAATAAAATTGTTTATCTTCTTGTTCTCTGATTTCAAATGTCAATCTACTCATTTCCGCACATTCCATTATTTTCTTAATAACTTCCTCCTGCAATGGTATTTTCTCATTTTTCCAGTTTTTAGCAAATACAATCCTAGCTGCTGTTAATACATTTACAATCAAATACTTCAATTCCTTACTATATATTTCAGGTAAAATTCCCAACAAAAATATCTCTGGTTTCAAGTCTATGTGTTTTTTTGTCATTTTTTCCAACCATGAGTGGATTTTAGTCCAATATCTTTTAGCATCCGCACACGTCCACCACATATGGTAATATGAACCAGATATCTGATGACATTTCCAACATTTTTCAGATTTATTCTTGAACATTCTTGCTATTCTTGTTTGGGGGAAGTGCCACCTGTAAAACATCTTATACAATTTTTCTTTATATGCTGTTGACGTTGTCATTTTATAGTTTTGAGACCACAATTTTTGCCATTTCTCTAAATCAATCCCATATCCAAAATTTTTCCCCCAAGCAATCATTGTTTCTTTGACTTGTTCTTCTTCTAGCTTAATTTCTAATAAATATCCATACAGTTTTTTAATCACCTTTTCATCAATACCTGTCAAAAAAAGTGCTTATTTTTCTTATAGGAGCTCTAGGGAGTTGTACATTATCATTTCCTAATCCTTAATATTACATACAAAGTGATCCTAAAGATGGTGTATATAAAAATAAATTGATCACCCAATGAACCATGAACATATTTATTTAGCAAATATAGATAGCCACCCATCTCATAAAAAGGGATTTGGGTGGCATGGAAACATACTATAAATTAAAAGCCATTATGAACAAACAGAATACTAATACTGTACTCAGAAATGATTCCGACATATATACAACCACTCAGCTCTCAATTCATTCCCCTTTTCTCACTTTCATTAATTTAAGTTTACAATAGGTTAATGGGATGAAGAAGAGAATCAACAGGATGTCTCTATTCTCTCCTTTATAACCCCCTTAAAGGTACAGAAGAGATCAGACAAAACTATGTGGCAGACAAATCCGGTTTAGAAAGCATGAAACTGACTATACTATTAGTTCAGGTTTCATATCATTGGCATCTTTTCTTCTTTGTGACTTTGCAAATACAATTCCATCATCATATTTTATGTGGTTGCAGTCCATGTTCTTTGGCCCATATGTCTTTTGAAAAATACATAATACAATATGTGCCAGTTTTCATGCTTGCCAGACTCCAGTGTCCCTAAACTTTACTATCTTTGAGAGAACAGCTACTTTGTGTTCACATGGGAAAAGCAGAGTGGATGCTGCTAATAATTTACTTGCTTTCACTGTCATTCTATCATTCCTGTCAGTGATGACTTAGATATAAATCAAGCTTTCAGGAAATATTCTAATAATACTTTACTCTAAATGGAAAATTACATTACATTTTTTAAAAACAATCTAAACATTGTCTGAAGGAAACCGGACCAGTTTCCAAAATTAGTTTGGGCTAAATATGTTTTGACAGCCCTTCCAGAGAACTGGTTTGAAGAAGCTGCTTGGCCTTAAGACTGCATCTGTCCCACATAAAAAAAACAACAATTATGCATTAGCAAATGTTCCCCTACCACTTTACCCTCTACTTGTCCTTGCATTTCCCTCCTACATGAAAGAGCTGGGAAAACTCCACAATTGATGATGGGTCTGCAAAATGAAAAAGAACAAATAAGAATCCCATTGCCCAAATTGTTACTACTGCATATAGCCTCATATAGCCTCATCCACAAATTTGTTCTGTTTGAAGTAATTTGCAGACTGCCTGGCCTAGCTGTAGCTTGATGAAAGCCTGTCAATTGACTGACACTTGTTTACTCTTTTTAGAATGTTTACTTCTGTTTATGTGTCTTTGCACTTTAATTGTGGTCTTGCCTATTTAAATTTGGATAACAAGCAAGAATCAAAAAGGCAATTTATTTAATTGCTATAATGAATTGCTTTGTGTTATTCTTCTTTTGTGTGCTAGACTGAAAAAGAAAAACTGACATGGAAAGATCGTTTCCCAGCATACTTCACAAATTTTGTGAGCATTATTTTCATGGTAAGTATTATCTAGTTTTGGAGTTATATTTAACTTTTCCTAATTCCTCTCATTTTCCCATCTTCTGCATTGGAAGTGCAAATTTCTTAACTTCCAGTACATTTGCATGGTGCCAGTTTAGGGAGAGTTCTATTAAATGGTGCAAAAATTAATTAATCAGCTTGTGCTTTTCAAATAATACATTTAAAAACTGTAACTCTATAATGAATAATAATAAAGCTTGCAATGTTGTACTTGTATTTTCTTTCTCACATATCTGTGCCCCTATAACTGTGCTATTTGAACACCATATTTTGCGAAACCTAATCTCTAAAGAGGAGTTTAGAGTCCACAAAAAGGTTATCAAATTACTGAAATTTCACAAGAATTTAAAACTAATTAAGGGGAGCAACATAAGACATTATATTGCTTTGTTGAATTGATATTACCTTGACAACAGTTCCTGGGAAAATCATAAGTCAGATCATTAAGCAGGGGTTTGCAAGAAGATGATTACTAGAGTTTGCTAGGTTTATTAAAAATAGGTTATGTCAGATTTTAAAAATTATACTGCTTTAAAAAAAACCAAAATGATTAGATTAGTAGACCAAAAGAATGCTTGTGGATGTGGTATACCAGACTTAATGAGGCATTTGATAAAATTGGCCATAACCTCCTTCCTCATAAAATGGAATGATGTGGGATGGATGGTGCCCTCCCTATATGGATTTGCAGTTGGTTGCACAACTGTACCCAGCACGTGGTCTCTATTCATTTTTATAAACGAGTTCAATAAAGGGAAAGGAGAGATGCTCAGCAAATCTGAGGATGACACAAATCTGGGAGGATTGCTAACAGCTCAGAAGACAGGCTGAAAAGACAGGCTCAAGACTTAAATATTGGGCTTTTTCCAACAAATATAGCTCCATGTCAAGAAACACAGGATTCTGCATTTAGATAGGGGGGAAAAAGATGTACATGTAAAAGATAGGCTCAACAGTAGTACTTGGGAGAAAGAGAAAGTATCTTGGTACACCAAAGATTGAACATCAGTCAGCAGCATGCTGCAGCTACCAAGAAAGCTAATGTAATGTTGGGTGCATCAACAAAAGTATAATGTGAAGATTACAAGAGGTTATAGTTCCACTTTATAGTGCATTGGTATACCACACATAGAATATTTCTTTCAGTTTTGATCATCACAATGCAAGTAGAAAAAGTGTAGTGAAGAGCAAATAAATTTGGAGAGGATCTGCAGTCTAACAATATGAACATCTAGATATTATTTCGTCTAAAGAACAGAAGGCTAAAGGCACTTGACAGCCTTCCATACTTCCAGTCCAATACAGAAGGACTGTCACAGGAAGATGGTGTGGTTCTCAGAACCAATAGGTGGAAGCATAATCATGGGTGCCCTATCACTAAATATTCTCAAATAAAGATGGGCAACCACTTGGCTGGGATGGTCTGAAGGTGAAGATTCCTGCCTTAGGTAGAAAATTGAACTTCGGAAGCCTCCAAGTTTTCTTCCAATTCTATAAGTCTATTAATATAATTGCAGGGTTTTTACTAAATGGATAATAGTGAATGAAACCATAAGCAAAATTCATAATCATTATTTTATGCTATTTTCTTAATTATTCTAACTATATTGTGTTTAACTTTATCGCTGATATTTTTCTTTAGTGGTATAGTATAACTACACTACTATATAGAAATATTTAGTTTTGGATTATATGTGGATTATAACCGTTTCCCTGTAAATCATATGGGAGCATGCTTTTATAATATTATAATTGGCACAAGTGATTGAAATATTTCCATACGAACTACGTCAGGTAATAGTAATATTGTGAACCTAATTGTTTGATAACTGGTTATGTCCTTTTCAGATTGGACTGACATTTGCTATTGTTTTTGGGGTTATTATATACCGAATCTCCACTGCAGCAGCTTTAGCCATCAGCTCCTCTCCAGGAGGCAGGTCGAATGTTAGAGTGACTGTCACAGCCACTGCAGTAATTATTAATCTGGTGGTAATAATAATCTTGGATGAAGTATATGGCTGCATAGCTAGATGGCTGACTCAGATTGGTAGGTACATATCCTCCTATTATTTGACTTAGAATTATGATTTCATTAAATGATCTGTCTTAATGATTCAGCTTTGACTCTGCAAGCAAAATTACATAGGAACAAATCCTGAGATAATAACATAAAAGCATTCTTGGCATTAAGGCATTCACATCTTTCAGTAACTAATATTCAGTTTAATTTTAAGTGTGGAAATTATTTAAATTCGTTTAGAGTCTTGTCACCTTGGCGAACCAATTTAAAAACAAACAAACCAAATAACACAATTTATCTTCATTTCCAGTCACTGCTTACTTTAAGAATACAAATCAAGAAGTAAAAAATAGAGGGGTCAAGACACATCTCAATATGCATTTCCTTATTGAAAGGGAAAAAAATCTGAAATACTTTTCTAGTAATCTTGTAATCAAGCCAGATTGACATTATACATACCACATTGTAGGGACAACTGTAGTGTATCAGCTCTGATCACATTATTCTAAGTAATTACCAAGTATAATAGATTTTCTAGTTCCACCTTTTCTATGAAGACTAGACTCTATATTCAGTGCCATAAATATCAGCCTGTACAGTAGTCATTGATGTGCAACTATTCGTTTAGTAACTGTTTGAAGTTACAATGGCATTGGGGAAAAAAGTGACTTATGACCATTTTTTACACTTGTGATCGTTGCAGCATTCCCATGATCACATGATCAAAATTCAGATGCTTAGCAACTGGCATGTATTCACGATGGTTGCAATGTCCCAGGGACGTGTGATCACCTATTGTGACCTTCTGAGAGGCAAAATCAATGGAGAGGCCAGATTCACTTAACAATTGTGTTATTAACTTAACACCTGCAGCAATTCACTTATCAATTCAGGCATTTCATGTGTTTGCATAAAATGGGACAATATTCACTTATCTTGCTTAGGAACAAAAATTTGGGGCTCAATTATGGTCCTAAAACAAGGACTATCTGTATAATATTTAGTACTTTAGATTAATCTTCCAGTCACTTTTCATTAATCTCATTTACCTCAGAGGTTCCAAAAACAGACAAAAGTTTTGAAGAACGACTTATCTTCAAGGCCTTCCTTCTGAAATTTGTTAATGCTTACACCCCCATTTTCTACGTTGCTTTCTTCAAGGGCCGGTAAGTTGCATAGATTAATTAATTGCTTCACTAGTATTTTATGCTGTTCCAGAGCTCTTATTCAAACAAGGACAGCCTCTTTAGAGGGATTGTTACTTGAGTTCCCCAGGCTATACCTCCTGCTCCAAGTATTAAAATCATAAAGATTAACTGAATTAATTATGCTAGCATGGTCATTTTCCAAAGTGTAATGTTGGTTATGTTTCTGTTAGGAGCACTTTTTCTGGGCACAACAGAAACATGGTTGGCTTATAGGTGTACATTAGGAAGGGATATTGCTAAATACCAAGGCAAAATACATATTCATTGGTTAAAATGTGAGTGCTTACTCAGCAGATGTTCACGCTGTTTTAAGTTGTTACAGATAGAAGCATTTTCAGAAATAAATGGCAGACTTCAGCTTTACTGTTTGGCATCATCAAGTTGAGGAATATTATTGAAAATACCACAATGAAGGTTTCCACAAGCAAAGAAAAAGTTGGGGAAAGCAGTCTTACTGATACACTCCCATGCATTTTTTCTCTTGAAATTCTGAGGGCTCTTAGGTCAGCTACTAAACAGTGTCCAGAACTGCAATCAGATACTGGAAGTAGCAAATTTTTGAATGCCATTCACTGACAGAAAGGATTTCATCCAATAAATGAATTAATTGGATTTTCCTCATCATGTCCACAAGATATTTATTATTCTTTCCTTTAATCATATTTAACATTAATTAACCCAGCTCTAAGGCAAATTACTTCTTTGAAAAATGTCACTGATAATGTTTGTGTTGATAAAAGTGAATATATTCCTGATAGCTAGATTTACTTTTCTGTATTTTTTTCTGAAACTAAATTAATCATCCATTGTACATTGTGTATCTTTGTAGAATGATTTTAGAGGCACGTAAAATACTGCAGGAAGTGTCTGAAAGATTGTGTCTGTAACACAAATTCTAACCGTTGTTTCCAAATTGTCTAGATTTGTTGGACGCCCAGGAGATTATGTCTACATTTTTCGTTCTCTTCGAATGGAAGAGGTAACTGTACCTTATTTTGTTCATGTGTCTAGAAAACAGCTATGAACATTCTGTTGGGGTATATGGATGTCCCCAGTTTTTTTATTTTGTTTTTCCCTTTTTTTAGTGTGCTCCTGGTGGTTGCCTGATGGAATTGTGTATACAACTTAGCATTATAATGTTGGGGAAACAGCTGATTCAGAATAACCTTTTTGAAATTGGCATCCCGTAAGTAGTAAGGAATAAGAAAATATTAGCTAACTTCTCAAAATGCTTGCATATCATCTCTTGATAAATTAAGTATATTTTTTCTTGACATCCATGCAATGCAAGAAAATGTTAAACTGAGGATACACCAAAATTTAAAAACATTCATTTTGTTACTATATTATTTGTTTCATTAATTCAATACATTTTGTTCTTATCTGAAGGACTATTTTTTCTCTGCAAATAATTTATTTCTAAAATAATTAAGCTCTATTATATTCATTGAGAATATTATAAAGAGACAGATAAGGGAATTTTTGTTTTTTGCTTTATTTATTTTGTTCCATTTTCCTTGAAAGGTGAATTATCTTAAATTCAGGATTATTTTCCTTATCAGTAAATCTTATAGTCTGCATTTCAGCAGTGTTTTCCCAAAGTGTTGTATTATGTTACTTAATAAATAAGAATTATGAATCTACAGTGGGGCCAAGTTCAACCAACTTATTAGTAGATAAATAGAATGGGACAAAATACTCAAATTAGTATCAAGTACAAAGAATAAAGTCTTCATGGTTATTCAGTGGCCACACTTTCGAAGATCTGATCAGGATTGTAGCGGCTGATAGAGATTATAATAGACCAGTATAATTAAGTCTTCATGTGTCTTTAGGAGACAGTAAATAAATTTGTTTATTCTTCATTTACTTTGCCAGAAATTTTCAGACATTTGGAGCTCTTATTTTCCCAATAGAGCTAGAAAGCCTTTTGTTCCTGTGAACTAACATAATTTGCTTTAAACAGAAAAGAACTTCAGGAAAACCTTTGTCATAGTGGAAATGACATAAAAACTGTGATGAGGTGCATATGAAAAGTTTTGGGCATTTTCACAGGACTTTTTAAATACCATTTCGGATACTAGAGAACTCAAAATAGAAGTCTGTCATTCAGCTACAAAAAATTTGGGAATTTGCTTTATCAAGGAACTTATTAAAATGGGAAACCAAATCTCTAATTTTTTTTTTTTTACAAAACATATAAGACATCTAAAGCAATTACTTTTCCTCATTCTTGATAGGAAAATGAAAAAATTTATAAGGTACTTGAAGCTGAAACGACAAAATCCTGTAGATTATGAAGAGCATATGAAGAAAAAACAGCGTTATGAAATAGATTATAATCTGGAACCTTTTGCAGGACTTACTCCAGAATACATGGAAATGAGTAAGACTTAAACTACCGTTATTTAAAGTGGGATTTCCCAGCTGATTACCTGTTCTGCAATGAACCAGAGTTTTATCCATTCAATATTTTATTATCCATTCAAAATGGATGCCCCAAATGTGCTTTTTCAAGAGGCAACTAGACTTTCTGGTTTTTCTTTGAAGACATTTCTCATCCAAGAAGCTTCTTCAGCTCAGAATCTCCATAGACATTCAGAATTGATTGATTTATCCAGCCTGACTGTTATTATGTTTTCTAGTTCTTTCTTTTTTGAGTTCTTTTTTCATATAATAAATGATTCAATAATAAAAGACATGTTATCCCTTTAAGAAGTTTCTATTATTTGATACATATAATTTCCAGAGGAGTAACCTTGATCAGAAAGTGCAGCTCTCATATACTTAATCCAATCCCGACTAGATTACAGTAATGCTCTACAAGCAGCCTTTGAAGAGCATTTAGAAGTTTCAAGTGCTGCAGAAATGCAGCACCCCATGCAGTTATTTGTGCCACTGGATTGGTGCATGTTACACCTGTGCTCTGAGAGCTACATTGGCTGCCAGTTTGCTTCTGAGTTCAATACAAAGTGCTGGTTATGACCTTCAAAGCCCTATATGGGGGATGTCTCAAAGGTGTTTTTTCAAGAGGCAACTGGACTTTCTGGTTTTTCTTTGAAGACGTTTCACTTCTCATGCAAGAAGCTTCTTCAGCTCTGACTGGATGGTGGAAATGGAAGGATTTATACTCCTTGCAAACAGCTGGTCATTTGCATTCTTTTACAGAATTGTTGAGGCCACCTGGAGGTTTGTCTATGTCATCAGGGTCATCTGAGTGGTGGAAATTGTGTGGAGCCTTATTGGAACTGTTGAAAGGACTGTGTTGTAAACTGGAAATAGATGATGTCGTATCCATCCTCCTCCATTGAGAGAGGGCTGTTCTTCTTGGATGAGAAGTAAAACACCTTCAAAGAAAAACCAGAAAGTTCAATTGCCTCTTGAAAAAAGCATCTTTGGGACAATCATGATCCGGATGACTGAGAATCTCCATAGACATCTACATGGGAATGGGTTATTTGAGGGACTGTCTCTTCCCGGTTACATTTACCAGTCTCATCAGGCCTGGCATAAGGAAGGTCCCACTTGCTAAGGAGCTTCATTTGAGCAGAACTAGGAAGAGAGCCATGAAATCCAGTCTTTGGGACAACATCTCCCCTGAAGTGAGATTGACCCTAATGGACTTCTGAAAATTTGATTTTGTCTTGGGGCCTGGGGATTCCATGGGAATATGGAGCCCACAAAACAGTTGTATTGTGTGTAACATTTAGATTGAATCTCCTGTGTTTTCTGCTTATGCCTTTTAATTGCTCAAATTGTTTTTAATGGTTTTGTGGTTTTGATAATTTTTGCTATTTTAAATATATGGGCTGCCCAGAGTCACGTACTGTATGTGAGTTGAGCAATTATATGAATTAAATAAAGTAAATCAATACAGTATAAAGCAAAGACAACAAAGAATCTTGTAACTGATTAAAAGTAAAAAAAAAATGTACAAGGTTCCACCTTTTCATGGACTTACCTCCATTACATGAAATGCATTCTTTTCTCTTGTGTTAGGAATATATGTGGATTCATAGTTTAGTGGAAGTTTGGGTGGGAGAATTGTAAAAAGTGAGAGCAGCCTGCAGTTAAATAAAAGAAATGTTGTCCAAAATGCTCAAAACATTTATATAAAATAACCAGTAGCAAATAGTATAACAGATCAAACACTTAAGAAAATACATATAATTTGTGCATAGTGTGCATTCGCTGATTTGCAGGGAGGTTGTCTTTTGGAAAGCAAATTCTACAGGAGTAAAATTGGTAATTGACAGTAGTTTCTTTTTAAATTTTCAGTAATCCAGTTTGGTTTTGTAACCCTGTTTGTTGCATCCTTCCCATTGGCTCCCTTGTTTGCATTGCTCAACAATATCATTGAGATACGTCTGGATGCAAAGAAATTTGTCACTGAGCTTAGGAGGCCAGTTGCAGTGAGAGCTAAAGATATAGGTAAGTTAGTAATTATTTATACAATATCTATAATTTATAAATATTGGTTAGAAAGCAGAAAATCGAGTGTCCTGGTTTGTGCAAGATAACCACTCTCTGCTCAAGCAGAACCTCTACTGAATACCAGCTGGTGTTCTTTATTTGTGGTAGTCTGACCTCAACAGCTAGGAAAGCTATATTATTCTTCTCTTGATTTCTATCCTGCTTTTATTTTTTACTAAAGCAATGTAATTAATTATAGATGTTTGAATAATCAGTGTAAATAGCATGAAAAATTGAACAAAATTTTGTTTCTCCTTAAGAGTTTCACTCCATGCCATCAGGTATAGAGAAAAGGTCCATTTGACATCCTTAGGAAAAGCATTCTAAACCTCACTGTTACTAGGTTTTACTCCCAACCCTTCAATAGGCTAAAGACTTAAATGAAAAGCACAAACATAGGGTTGTATCAAATTCATCATTTGCTAGCAGAACCGAATCATCCTTCTATGCATCCATTAACCTGTTCAAACAGTAAAAGATTCTCAAAAGGCAGAACTGAAACTCCGAAAAGAGATGGGGGAAAAAATGACAAGAAGTTCCACGTTACCCCATAGAATGGAATGTAGAAATGAAGGAATATTATCTAGAAATAAATGAATTGACAAACTGAGTAGATATTAAAGGAAATATCTTTTGCTTCGAACATTGAAGTAAAGAAAGGATGAAAAAAACAGATAATATCATTGCTATTATTTATTTATAATATCTAAATTATTCATTGTATATGATGTTATTGGTGATGTATGCATTAACAGCCCAGATCCTAGGAAGCAATTACAGGTAGTCCTCAACTTATGACCACAACTGAGTCCAACATTTCTGTTTTTAGGTGAAACATTTAAGTGAGTTTTGCCCCATTTTATGACTTTCCTTACTACAGTTGTTAAGTGAATCACTGAAGTTGTTAAGTTAGTAACATGGTTGTTAATTGAATCTGGCTTCCCCATTGACTTTGCTTGTTAGAAGGTGATCACGTGACCCCAGGACACTGCAATCATCATAAATATGAGTCAGTTCCCAAGCATCTGAATTTTGATCATGTGACCATGGGGGTGCTGCAATGGTTGAAAAAATGGACATGTCACTTTTTTCAAATCCGTTGTAACTTCAAATGGTCACTAAATGAACTGTTGTAAGTTGAGGACCCACTTTTAAGAGTGTTAAAAAGTTCTGGGCACCATTGTTCAAAAAAGGCAATGACAAACTGGGAGGAAGTTCAAAGGAGGTTACCGAGATAATGATTGATTTAGAAACCAAGCCCAATTAGGATTGAATTATTATTCCAATTAAATGATATAAATATATGTATCCTATTAAAGAGACAGCTGACGAGAGATACGATAACACTTTTCAACTATCTGGGTTGTCACATTGGAGAAGGAATGGGCGTATTATTTATTGCCCAAAAAGAAGAATCCGTGAGCCTGCCTGAGCAGGAGGTTGGACTTGAGGACCTCCAAGGTTCCTTCCAACTCTGTTCTTCTGTTAAAACTACAAGAAAGGGATTCAGGCTAGCTATGAGGAGAAACTTCTTGACTGTATCAGTTATCAGTCAATTCAAAAGGTTTCCTCTTGACATGGTGAGTTCTCCTTTTTAATGGTTTTGAAACAGAAGCTGGAAATTCATCTGTTAGAGATCCTTTAACAGTGGGGAAAAAAGACCCTGGAATCTCTGATCAAAGGACAAAGTTATAAGAATAGAAGACTGGCTGCATTCAAGTATAATTTTACATTTGCCTCTCTGCTCTCTCACAGAACCCCCAGTTCTCATGCCACCTTAGGGGTTCTGTGGAACAGAGTTGGAAAAATCCGGGCCTAGATGACTTTGATAGTCCTTTCCAAATCTGGGATTCTACGATCAGTATTTGCGATAATACTCTTGAATAGCTTGCTTGTCTTTTCTCAGGGATATGGTATAATATCCTCAGAGGGGTAGGAAAATTGGCTGTGATCATAAATGTAAGTATTTTTTTTCTGTAAATAGTATATGAACACAAAATTCTCATTTCTACTCAACTATTTTAAAGGTTTATTCTGCAATGGCTAAAGTAGGAAAGTGTGAATATGCCTGGAAAAGCAACCATAAAGATGGGCTGACACTTGGGCTAACCTCAGCTACATTTCCCAGATGGCTGTGCCTCTATCTTTTACTTTTCCTCCCAGGTGGCTCCAGCTTCCTCTCTTTTGGCAAGAGGCCCATCTTTTCTATCCATTACCTTCTTTTCCTTTATCCCTTGACTTCATTTCCTATTTCCTGTATGGTCTAGAACAACTCTGGGGCAGTATGGTACCAAGACCTGCCAATCCTTCACTGTCTGTCCATTGTGTTTCCAGACTGTAGCTTTCTCACTTCTGAATGCCAACATTAATTCTTCTCTTCTTTTGCTGCTAGGCTTGTTAAGCATGGCATTCTTTGTCCTTTTTCTATTAGGTCAAAAGGGGAAGTTGGAATTGGTTTTTAGGTATTGACGACATGAAGACATTTCCTAAAACAAAAGAGAGCAACTAGCAGGCATCTAATCTGTAGCTCTGAAATCACCCCACAGAAAATGACAGAGAAGCCAAATGGCCAAATTTTGGCAGCACAATTTTCAGCTAAAAAAAGGAGAAAATGAAATAATATCACATGCCCAATAAAGACCCCCAAACTGCCTTAAGCATCACTGGGAAAACCTACAGCCCATTAAATTGTGCAATTCTATGGATCCATATGGAAAAGATCCACTGTAATTCTAAATATTAAGCTTTCTACTCTCTTTTGAGATGGTATCTGCCCTGCAAACAACAGCTAAACATTTTGTGTAAGATTTATTTTAATTGTGAAAGATAAAAAAAATATTAAACTGCTGGATCCAAATAAAACTATCCACTATTTGTCAAGTTTTGTGCATTTGATGAAACATCTAAATGGAGCATTTGCACAAAAAGCGCACAATTCCAAAACAATGAATGCAAAGTGATTCAAAATTGCCTCCAGCATGCAGGATAACAAAAGCAACATCAGTGCCCCAGACACTGTTTGTTTATTGATGGGGGGGAGCATGTGTATAACAAAAATATTGTGCATGGCAACAGGGCAAACTTGGGGCTGTTATCTGAAAGAAATTTGCAATTAAAAGAATATTAGTGCTGAAATACCTATAACCATTTTCCCACCTGATGTTAGCTTCCCAGTCAATTTCAGCTATTCATTCTCAATTTGCTGCACTTTTAAAGATTGAATATCAAACCACCATGGTGCAAAGAAAACCATTAGCCTGCTGATCTGATGATACGGTTAGAACCAGCCTGATTCATGTCAATCCCTGTTGGGGGAGGAGACGATTGAGTCTGCTTATGTAATTAAGTGTGGCTTGAATATCTGCACTCATTCTTTACTTTTATGGCTTAGGCATTTGTGATCTCATTCACATCTGACTTCATTCCACGCCTCGTGTACCTGTATATGTACAGTGAGAGTGGCACCATGCATGGCTTCGTGAACCATACACTATCCTATTTTAATGTCAGCAATTTTCAAGGAGGAACTGCTCCAAAAGATGATATGGAGCTTGGCTATCCAGTGCAAATATGCAGGTATATAATGACATTTCTTTGAAACAACTTTGCCTAGACTATGCCTAGGATATTTGTTTGTCGTGCATCTCATCAAGTCTCTTTTAATTTTTGGTGTGTTTATTCTAGGCTGTATGTATTGAAAAATGCCAACTTTCTGTAGATAAAGCTGCCTTTCTCCCACCCACCCTGCTTCTATGACATCACCATTCCCCCCTCCAATTATGTAATTTCAAAGGCACAGAAATTGAACCAGAAGAACCCCGTTTTGAAAAGACAAATTCTTTTCCATTACAGTTTTTTTGAGCTACTGTCTAGACCAGGGATCTCCAAACTTGCCAACTTTAAGACTTGAGGACTTCAACTCCCAGAATCCCTCAGCCTGCATGATTGGTTGAGGAATTTTGGAAGTTAAAATCCACATCTCTTTAAAGTTGCTAAGTTTGAGGACCATTGGTCTAGAACCACAAAAGTACCATTATGATTAGTTTTGATCTACTCTCTGCCAACATATGTCTCTCTCACACGCACACATACAGTACATACACACAATAAAATAAAGCTATCCTAAATCATCTCATTAATGAATCAAGCATATTAGCAGATATGAATCTTTAAAAACCCAGTAGCCACATGCTCCTTAATCTAATATTCCTTTGGCAGAAATCCACAATATTACAATAGGATTTTTTTTAATGGAAAGCTGTCGCTGCTGTTTATTCCCCTCTGCTTCTAATTTCCATACTAATTCCTCAAAAGAGTATTTCATGCATATGGAAATAGCATCAGAGATAACTTTCAATAGCTAAGAAAAGACATAGCTGCTGTAATGATTCATATGCATATTGAGAAGAACCCTGTTGAAAAAACATATCCAGCCCTATTAGATTATTTGAATTTTTCAAATATTATAAATATCACACTCCAAACGTGCCTAAATGCAGACCTTTATATGCCAAAACTTTGTAAACCATAATTTGTCTTCAGTCCAAAGATTGAAATGTGGCTGGACCTCTAAATAAACCAGAGATAAAATCTCACTAATTCATTAATTACTGTCACGTAAACTTGCTCAGTTTCGTATATGTTACAATAAAGCTCTGAATTGCTCTAATGTATTTCCTCCATATCTTGTATGAATCTAATTTTGAAAGCCACAAAATTGCTTTCTTGATACTCAGAAATTATGCACTTTGCACCCCAAATTCCAGTGTAACCTCTTTTCATATACCTTCCCTATTATTTTAAATTAAACCATACTACTTAAAGTTTGTATTAAGACACTTTTTCGACTTCATTCTCCTTCCTGCTTACTTATCCAATCAGCCTTGGGAAGGGAACTGATATTCTTTTAGGATGCCTCTGAACTACAACCCCCAATATCTGTATCATTGGCTATTCTACTGGGACTACTGGGAGATGAACATGAGTTTGCTGTCTCTGCCCTAGGCAGGCTGCCCAAGGCTTGTTTCACTGCACTGTAATATCCTTACATATAATATTCATGGCATTCTTCTATCTATGTCCTTCCATTCAAGTATTACTAAATGGCTGCATACTTGTCTGCTATACAGCAGGCCAATCCTTTGTCTGAGGAAGATTTTCAGTCAATGTTTCCTTTTCTAGACTCTGCGATAGCTTGCTTCTTTAATATGATTTCACATTTTTCTCAAATACGTTATGCAAAACACATAGAGCATCCTGTCACTTCAACAAAGTACATGGAAATATAGCAATTCACTAACATGTTATTCTGATAAAGCAAAAGAAATTAGCATAACTATATTTTCAACATGTCAGCAGTAAACTCAATGTAGCAACTGACACACTGATTTTAGTTAAAGATGATAGATGATGATAGATAGAATTTGATATGAACTGATACTTTATTCTCAGAACCTTCTGATTCTCAATTCTAATCTGTTTTTCAGATACAAAGATTATAGAGAACCTCCATGGTCTGAAAATAAATATGATATTGCAAAAGATTTTTGGGCTGTGCTTGCAGCAAGATTAGCATTTGTAATAGTGTTTCAGGTAAAGTATAATCAAAATTTGTCCTTTTTCTAGAAATTATATCACAATAAAATGAATGCATGAAATAGTGTTTTTAGGAGATGATGATATCTAACAGTATTTGAAAAATACCATGTCCATATCATGTTTGCCTAGCAGGTATCAACAACTTTTTCAAATTTCACATACTCTTGCACAAAAAGTATTTACAGTAAAATTTACAGTAAAATAAAAATTATATTGTACATTTTATGAAAATACTGCACTTCAAGATTTGTACTGTGGCAGAAATTGTTGCATTGCACACAGAGACTCTCAAGTGAGTATACCAGAATACCAGCAGATGAGTGAAGACTGCCCATATGAGGAATCAGCTGTTCCCTTTTGTTGTCTCTTGTAACAGTATGTAAGAATGGTCTTGAATGATGAAAAGAATGTTTCAACTCCTTCAGAACTAAATGATGTTGCTGATAAATAAAACAAAATTCTAGTAAAACTGTTGAGACAACTAAAACCACAGAAGACAATGTTAGTATTTGATTAGCCTAAGTGAGATAAGCAGAAACAAATAGAATAAGTTCAAAGTATTCCACTTTTATTCAATCTGGGAATTAGACTTGCCCAGCTGTATTAGACTCGCCCAGCTGTAATATTTATCTTAACACGCTGCCTGAATTAACAGATAGCAGATAGTAGATCATCAGAGTTGGAAGGAACCTTATAGGTCAGTCTAGTCCCACCCCCCCCCCCCCCCCGCCCAAGCGGGAGACCCTACACCATTTCTGACAAATGGCAGTCTAATCTCTTCTTGAAAGTCTCAAGTGATGGCGCTCCCACAACTTCCAAGGGCAAGCCATTCCATTGGTTGATTGTTCTCACTGTCAGAAAGTTTCTCCTTATTTCCAGGTTAAATCTCTCCTTGTTCAGTTTCCATCCATTATTCCTTGTCTGACCTACAGGCGCTTTAGAAAATAGCTTGACCCCTTCCTCCCTGTGGCAGCCCCTCAAATATTGGAAGACTGCTATCATGTCTCCCCTGGTCCTTCTCTTCACTAGACTAGCCATGCCCAGTCATGCCATGCCCAGTCATGCCCAGTTCCTGTAACCGTTCTTCGTATGTTTTAGTCTCCAGGCCCCTAATCATTCTGGTTGCTCTTCTCTGTACTTTTTCTAGAGTCTCAACGTCTTTTTTATAGTGTGGTGACCAAAACTGGATGCAGTGCTCTCAGTGTGGTCTTACTAAGGCTTTATGGAGTGGTATTAGTACCTCATTTGATCTCGATTGTATCCCTCTGTTAAGGCAATTTAGGATTGCATTAGCTTTTTTGGCTGCTGCTGCACACTGCTGAATTATATTGGTGCTATTGAAGAACCATTTCCAAAATCCTGCAGAATTTGCAATCCCCTCTTAGGATGTTTCGTCAGGTGCCTAATTTCTAATGGTAAATAAGAATTGGCTTTGGAGGAACATACTTTAAAATCAGGTGTTCCAAATTTTAAAGAAAGCTCTCTCCTCCTCTCTCTTGCTGGGGTGCATCTGATATAGCTGGAATGCCCTCTCAAGGATTGCATTTCAGGGGTGTATTTCCAGTGGTGGGATTCAATTTTTTTTTTACTACCAGTTCTGTGGGCATGGCTTAGTGGGCATGGTGTGGCTTGGTGGGCGTGGCAGAGGAAGGATACTGTAAAATCTCCATTCCCTCCCCACTCCTGGATGAAAATTACTGCATTCCCTCCCCACCCCACTAACCTGCTTTCCAGCTCCGTTCTCCTGTGCAGGGCAACAAAAAAAGACCCAGTCAATCAGCAGGGACTCTGGAGGCAGAAAATAGATGGGGGCGGGGCCAGTCAGAGGTAGTATTTGCCGGTTCCCCTAACTACTCAAAATTTCCACTACCAGTTCTCCAGAACTGGTCAGAACTGCTGAATACCACTTCTGTGTATTCCTAGATATAGAGAATGTTATGGGATTTATTTACAGTATATATTTTTATTTTATTTATTTTTTAGGCTTGCATTCAAGAAGACCCTCTGATACTTTTTTTTCTAATGTTTTAATCTTCTTACACCAAGTATTTATTTCATTGTCTATACGTGCATCAGCTCTCAGATAAAAAAATAAATCATAGCTGACTGTTGTAATTTTCTCAACTATAGAATAACTTTAGTAATATTTCACATTAAAAAGTTGTTTACAGGAAAGCAGGATTAACAACAATTAATTTTAGAGTTGACACCAGGGAATTCCATTCACTCCTGTTTTGTCAGGGCCCTTGAGATAAGTGAGTATGTACATTATGAAGATATATTACAATATATCTTAGTTTCATGAAGTACAGTAGTGTATAGTTAGTGCTCATTATCATTCAGTTCTAATCTTGGGATCAGTTTGACTACTGTGGAACACAATTTTATGTTTCATGCGGATTCATATATATATATATATTCATTACACTGTCCCATTTTAGGGTAAACTGTTATATAGAGTATAGGAAAAAATGTAAAAACAGTAGGCATGAAATAAGAAAAAGGAAAGGAAATATATTGTATTTGAAATAAACTGCTCTCTTAATAATAGTTATAGCAGATACTGAAAAAGCAACTTACAGGATCCAATCTGGGTCAGTCACTGGGACCAGAGGTTTTGCCTTCCAAACTTTTGGACTTGTGCTGGAGCCCATCCTCAGGGAACTTCTCTCTCTAGCAGTTCCCTAAAGATGGCCTCCAGCACAAGTCCCAAAACTCTGAAGACAAAACCTCTGGCCCTGATGACTGATCCAGAATAGATCCTGCAGCATTATCCTGGGACAGATATGTTCGCCTTCATTCGTAAGCCACTTACAACCAGGATTCAGTATTCTGACATCTGTGCGTCCCCCCCCCCAACCCTCCCCATGGTTATGTGATGACATTTTGGGTGCTCAGAAACAAACCCACATTTATGGCCATTTGCAGCATTCCAAGCTCACGTGACAGGAATCAATGTTTACTTCCAATTTCCAGCAAAAAAAAAACAAATAAGCCTCCTAATGAACAATGGCTTTGTTTAACAACCATGGAATTCACTTTATGGCCAGTGCGTTCATTTCACAACCATGTTTGCTTAATAACTGCTGCAAAAAACGGTTGCGAAATTCATCATGGTTGTGTGATCACCGAATTTATGACTGTCGCCACTTATGACCAAAATTTCTGGCTCAATTATGATCCTAAATTGAGGACTACTGTACATGATCTCTGGAATTAAGCAGTCTATGCATTGTACTGATACATTCTTAGGAATCCCAAATATATGTGAATTCTTAATAAACTATTGATATATTCTTTTTTAAAAAGAATTGATATATTGATATATTCTTTTTTTTTAAGAATTTTTTTTAGTCAGACCATAATTTTGCCTTGGTTAACCTTTTCTCTTTTGTTTTTATTTTTCAGAATTTGGTTATGTTTATGAGTGACTTTGTTGACTGGATTATTCCAGACATTCCCAAAGACATTAGTCAGCAGATTCACAAGGAGAAAGTTCTCATGGTAGAAGTCTTCATGAAAGAAGAGCAAGGAAAGCTGCAGCTGCTAGAAAACTGGAGAGACAAGGATCAAAGGAGAGGTGAAAATTGTAACAGTCACAGTCCCAGGTCATCAATGAGCCATAGAGGGAGTGTATCTTCCTGTCACTCATGCCATGTTGAGGTATAGAAGAAGTCGATGTTTTACACTGGGGCATTCCATTCACAAAGCAGCCAATATTTACATGATAGAACTTCATACTTTAACAACCTGGTGCATGTTTAAGCATATGCGACTGTTTCGCTTATATCTATGTGAGAAATAATGTTCTTACGAACAGAAAGGACCATATTCTATTTCTGACAAGTTTTCTTTTTTTAATTTTGTTTCCTTTTTTGCACAAAAATAATGCAGGGATTTTTTTATATATATAAATAGATAGGTAACTTGCATAGTTAGCTTAGAGCTGTCACTGTTTTATTTTTTAAAAGGAGATAGGATTCTGTAGACTCTTCTCTGAGAATTTTATATTAGCGTATTTATTAAAATAGGATAAAATGTATGAACCAAACTACAACTATTGGAATAATAATAAGTCCCCCATTCCTAATAAGCTACATCTGGGGTCTTGCAATATGCGAATAATAATAATAATAAATACTATACTGTGGAGTGCTTTTTGCAAAGCTGTGGCAACCAAGGTCTGACTTGAATCTGCCGACTTTTTTACAAGCAGAAATCCTGTTGAATTTCCTTGATGATATGTTGAATAACCTGAATTTTCTCCAAAGTGAATGTGGGAGCAAGATTATTTTGTTTTCCATTTGAGATTCTTGCCTCAATTCATCACTTCCATCTTCATTTCATTTACTCTTATGAATAGAATGGTCAGACTGAAATCACTGTAATCTTAGTCTCATTAATGAGAGCAAATAACTGTACTGTCTTTCATATCTTCTTCTATGAAAGATAAACAATTTATGGAGGGGCATTTAGTTTACTAATTCAAAGTGTCTAGTGCACATTCCAGAGGGGGATTCTAAAGAGCAAGAGGCATCAGCACAATTTCCCCAAACACTGAAGGACCTTTGAAGAAAAAGTGTCCTGAGTTAAGAGCACACACAAAAACACACACACAAAAATACTAGCAAATTGCACTGCCCACCACAAACCTGGAATTTTAGTTGTTGAAGGAACACATTAAATATATGTATTTCCAATTACGGTTCTATGTCACCTCTGCTAGTAAAGCCTACATATTATATTTAAGGACATTACATCTTTCTAAAACAATTAATGTGATTCTGTCATTTCACTGATCATAGGGCTATTGTAGCTCATAATCTCTCATGAGCCGGTATATTAAGTAATTTGGCGAGGCAGCTAAATATTATTCTTTTCCAAATTTACAACTTCTCTGCCTTTGCAGGTCTGATTCATTTGTCTTGCTTTCTTTCATATTGAAATGGTCAGAGTTCATTTGAGCACCATTCCAGTGAAATGTGGGCCTTCCTTCCTCTTTCTTTCTTTCTTTCTTTCTTTCTTTCTTTCTTTCTTTCTTTCTTT